AAAAAAAAAAATAGAAATTTCTCCACTAACAACTGAAGATTACTTGTTTCATAGCTTCTAAATATGTCTTCTGATGGAAATTCTAGACGTAGACAAAGCTGGAGCGCCATAAGATGTGAGTAAACAGATGATGTAGCAAGAAACTTACTGAATGCAGTTCGGGATGAAATTTCAAATATGTGCTGCACACCATTGCATCCTTCACCAGCCGCTCATGCCACAGAAATGCGGCAAATACTGTACGACAGCAATCTGCTACTGCTGGCCTCAGCGCATGCACCGGTTGCTCATTTCTATATTGCAAAAAATTAAATCTGTGCTTGATTTTTGAAAAAAATATCTTATTTTGTGAAAAACAGAACCTCGACTGCGGATGAATTTGGGCTACCGGCTTTTGACTACCTGGCGAGCCATCACCGCCATTGCTGTTGCTGTAGCGCTGCGCACTATTACTTGTTTTTTGTAAATGCCGATTACCCGATGCATCCTGCAAAATTTTTGATTTGACTAGATTGAACAGTATGGAAAATTTAAAGTAAGCGAAAAAGGGTAAGCCTGATGACAATAAATATGCAAAACTGTGAGTGAACAATTTGCATAAGCTATACGATGACCACAACGTTTTAGTGCCAAGTGAAAATGTTACTGATCTAACGCACTAGCAACTGATCTAACGTATCCTTCGAGACAATGTCGGAAGATAAGGATTAACAAGGCTTCCTGAAAGAATTAAGAAATGCACAGAAAACAAAAGCCGACATCGCGGGGATTGCCTGAGCTCTCACAGTGCTAAGATGCTAAACTGAATAAGGCACAATTCTAAGCAAAATTACAGCTATTTAACCCAGTCTAAAGCTCTTTGTACAACTGCACGATATATCAATCCCGTGTAGGATCCAAAGAATATTACCTGGACCAAGGCATATTTTTGGTCAAATTCGAGCAATCGTATCCATATTCCCTGCTTATTATGAAGCCAGCCGGTGGATCTGATCTCGCCCAGAGCTGATTCTTGTATTACTTCGCCCGAAGCTGCTTCTAGTGATGGATAGTTGTAGATTGAAACCGGACGAGCACCATGAGTCACATATGTCTGCAACAATAAATAAAAACATGAAATGCGCAAAAGTAAAATTCAGGAGGATAGTTATCCCAAGCGCTGACTGTATCGGAGGGAGCGACGGAACAAACGCTAGTGATATAAAACATAAATTAAAATGCCATGGCCAGAGTTACACACCAACACACAACCTGTGCGACGCAAATTAGGCATCTAAGAAGACGCAGTTAAAGAGGGTAAAATGATCGAATGCATTTACCTCTTCAACATCCATTTGTAGTGACTGTTCGAGATACTGCTGCTCACTCGCGACTGCATTCTGAGGAACCTGTACTGTGGCAGCAGTCAGAAAATTGTGGCCAACAGCAGGAGCTTGTGGCGATTCCGCCTGCAGTAACAGGAACGAACGACCCAGATGAGCACTGTATTGCAGACACCAAGCCTGAAAAGACAATCCGCCTGGTTCTTTTT